TAAAAATATTAAGAAATTTTATTAAGAATAGTAATCAGAAATTACTTATCTCTCCAGTCTAACTCCATTTGCAGACTTTTCTCTTGAGGAAAATGAGAACAAAAGCTGAGGCCTTTCTTAGGAAAATGGGATTCAGAGTGATAACCAAATTTAACTCTTTTTTTTTTTAAAGCTAAATTGCTCAGTGGATAGAGTGCTGGGCCAGAAGTCAGGAAGACAGGAGTTCAAATTTGGCCTCAGATGCTTATTAGCTGTTTAACCTTTATTTAAGTCACTTAACTGCTGTTTGCCTCAGTTTCTCCATCTGTAAAATGGGGATAATAATAGCTTTGTAAAGTGTATAGCACAGTGCCGGGCACACAGTAGGCACTTAAATAGATACTGATTCCCTTTTGTCCCTCCCACCCCTCTAAATATGTTACTGAATTGCAATAGAATTCAGCCCTGTATGGGACCCATCCGTTGTCTAGACAACAGAGCTTCTTCACTTTTTTTGTATCGTGGGTCCTTTTGGCCATCTGGTGAACGGTATAGCACTCTTCTCAGAAGAACATTTTTCAATTCATAAAATAAAATACACAGGACCACAAAGGGCACCAAGGTCAGCAAAAATGAAGGTGGAAGTTGATGGATCCCCTGAAATCTCTCCATTGCATTGACCCAAGTTAAGGACCTCCACTCTATTCTGATACCCTCACTTCGTGGAGTAGGGGATTGGGACCTCAAGAGATTACGTGACTTATCCAGGGTCACACGGTTAGTAAAGAGTAAAACCAGAGCACAAACTAGATCCTTGGGATTCAGATTCACATATCCTGTCTCCAAATCCAGCGTTCCTGTGTCGCTGCACCAAAACTGCTTCCCAGGGTATGTTAGATGTGAAGCAGACTTTGGAGGTGATCTCGTTGAAGTTCCTCATTTTGCAGAGGGGGAAACTGAGGCCCAGAGAAGGAAACTGACTTCTTCACATGAAAGTTATCCAAGAAAAAAAACATTAACACTAATATTGTACTCTGCCTCTTTAGACTCAAGTCTGCCAGAAACAATTTTGTTTAATTTATCATTAATCTAATAGTCAGATATTTCTATCTTAGACGTCCAGACAAATATAGTCTCCCATGCTCTCTGACATGAATTCCTACCCCAAGAAAGTTTTGTTAACATTTATAGGAATCCTGAGGAAAAGGGAACAATATGGAACAATACAGTTCTGGGTTAACATTCAGAATTGCTGCTTGTCACCATCCCATTCCTTCTGGACCATTCTGCTTGAAGTGGAATCAGTGGGACTCTTCCCAGACATCTCCATGGAGCATCTACATTGAACAGACAGTGGGAAGGTCGTCTCTATTTCAGTGGAAGAGGGCACTTCCCTCCCTGTGTTCTTGCTTCGGGTCATTTCAGAGGTGGGAAAGGCAAGATCTATCTCGATAATAACAGTAATAGCAAACATTTATTGAGTGCCTACTACGTGCCAGGCACTGTGCTAAGCACTTTACAAACATCTCATTTGAGCCTCACGACAAGCCTGGGAGGGAGGGGCTGTTATGATCCCCATTTTACAGTTGAGAACACTGAGGCAGACAGAAGTTAAGTGTCTTGCTCGTGGTGAGGCTGAATATGAATTCTGATCTTCCTGGCTCCAGGCCCAGTGCTCAATCCACTGTGTCACCTAACTAAAAGTCCTTTCTAGTTCTGAAAATACAAAGTCCCAGAAGTAAACTGAAAATCAGATATCCTTAGGGGGTTGAGAACAGTAACAGCTAGCTAATAAGCCCTTGAAGGTTTGTACAGAGCTTTATAAAAATACATCATCTCAGGGACAGCTAGGTGATGCAGGGGATAGAGCACCGGCCCTGAATTCAAGAGGACCTGAATTCAAATCCAGACTCAGACACATAACACTTACTAGCTGTGTGACCCTGGGCAAGTCACTTAACCCTACTGCCTAGCCAAAAAAAAAAAATATATCATCTCATTCTATATTTGTAACAACCCTGAGAGGTAGGTGTTATTATTATTCCACTCTTATAGATGAGGAAACTGAGTCAGATAGAGATAAAATGACTTACCCAGGATCACACAGCTAGTAAGACTCTGAGGCAGAATTTTAATTCAGGTCTTGCTGATTCTAAATCCAATACTCTAATCACTTCATCAACTAGCTGCACGTAACATCAGGCATTTTTGTAAATGTTATTTAGTTTTGTGGAAATTTTTTGCTTTTCTGGGAGGAAGTGACAGAGATACACAATGGAAAACATAGGTAGCATAAAAACAAGGAAGGGCAGCTGCTGAGGGGTGCCATAGTTTACAAAGCGTGGAAGACCTCAGTTCAAAACCAGCCTCAGACAGTCATCAGCTGTGTGACCCTGGGCAAGTCACTTAATTTCATTTGCCTCAGTTTCCTCATGTGTAAAATGAGCTGGAGGAAATGACAAACCCCTCCAGTATTGTTGCCAAGAAAACCCCAAATGGGGTCATGAAGAGTCAGACATAACTGAAATAAATGAACATCAACAACAAAACAGGAAATTCCCCATTCAGGAACAGGTTAGATTAGATGCCATCTGAGGTCCCTTCCTTTCAGCCCTAAGATTCTGTGACATGCAGGTGATAAGTTTAGGGTGGGGACAGGAAAAGTGGCTATCCTGTTTCACTGAGAAGTCTTGGCAAGCCAGTCCTGTGTCGAAATTCAGAAAGCCTCCCAGCCTCCAGCTTTCCCTGGCCTTGTCACACTTCCCAAAGTCAATACACCAGCTGTTGATTTTCTCTTTGGAGCCCTAAGCTCTCTCAAACAGATAAGGTAGAGGCAGTACAACAGGCTCTCACTTCTGATTCTGTGCCTAGGTGGTGACCGAAGAGTCTATGTTTGGAATGGCTCTGTTTCTAAACTCTTACTGTACTGAATATCAGAGACACTAATATGTAAAGTGACCATATGTCCCAGAATGTCAACACTGGAAGGAACCGTAGAAAACAACATCAAGCTGGGAAGGGCCTTAGAACGGTGAATGCCATAGCTGGAAGGAACTTTGGAACACTGGTAGAACTGGAAATGATCTCATGTAGAAATGCATTAGCTCTGGAAGGGGCCTCAGAACATAAAACACCAGGGTTGGAAAGGCCTTTAGGAGATTAGGGGAGGCAGCTGAGCCCTGCAGAGGAGGGATTTACTTAAAAGGACTGAAAACCAGTCTTGTGATTCCATGTCCAGAGTTTCTTGTTAGTTCATCATAATTTCAGATACCCTAAACCATTCAAAAACCAGAAGACAAACTCCTTCATGGAATACCCCCTCTAAGGGAAAGACGAAGCAATGGACTAAATTTGATGAGAGTGTGGAACCTCTGAGTTGCCAATTAATTTCAATCAATTAATTAAATAATTAATCTCAAGGCAAGGAAATATCAAATGGTTTCGGAAGCAGGGAGAGTAGACTTGGGAGGGCCTAGCTGAGTGAAAACCCAAAAATCTTTGCAGTCTATGCAAGCCCACCCCCTAACTCCTCCCCCCCCAACACAACATTCTAATATATCCTGATGAATTTGGCCATCATACTTGAAAGTTATAAAGGTCTAGCCCAAGATTCCAAGGGGAGACATGAGCACAAACAGACCTTACCTAAAGTGACTGGTTTTCTCTTGTAGGATTAGGCTTCAGCTGTCTTTAAGCCAGTTGGTTTAAAAGGCAGTCTAGTAAAGGGTATCCAAAAAGTCTTTGTGCAATGTTAAGCTTTAACATCTTAAAACTGCACTAAAGATTTATGGGACACCCTGTATAGCGAAAGGCCTCTGGACTGGTCAAGAGAAGACTTGGGTTCTACTCCAGGATCTTAGTCTCCCATGACATGTACACAATTATAATACAAAAGAGAACACGCATAGCACAATGGAGACGTGGCCTCAGAACCAGCAAGACCTGGGTTAAAGTCTTCCCTTGGATCCTGGCTAGGTGACCTTGGACAAGTAACTTCTTTACCTTCAATGCTGGGCAGAGGTGCCAACCTGCATTGTTAGAGGGAGTTTACTCATCTGGGAGTTCCCTCCATCCACCTTACCTCACTTAAATCCAATTCGCTTGCAAGTCAAGATATCACCCTCCTGACGTCACTGTTCCTCTTCAAGAACAAAGGCCAAACAACAACAAATGGCAATGAAATCACAGACCCCGTCCGCATAAAACAGAAGTTAAATATGTGAGAGGCACAAGCCGAGCTGGTCTGTTTCCTCATCTGTAACATGAGGTAGTCGGCGAACTTCCTAAGGTCCCTCCTAGAATGGTGCTCAACTTTTCTGTTACGCTGTTTCTGCCTGCCCACAGTCACCCTGGAATTTTGGCTGGCTGCCATGCTCCTTCCCTCAACTCCACAAAATCTTCAACTCAACTCAATTCTACTGGACAAGAACGCCGTTAAACGTAAAGTCCGGTGGTCAGAGCCAGACCTATAAAAGTGGGGAAATGATGTAATCCTTCCCAAGGAGCTTATAATCGAACAGAAAGCTACGATATAAAACCAACTAATTACAACACACTATGGAATGTTCTAAAAGTGAACGGCAGAGTCAGAGAAGGTGCCCTAGGAATTTCTGAAGAGGGAGAAATCATTCTCAGCTGTAGGTAATCAGGGAAGGATCCATGGGGAAGGGGGCTCCTAAGCTGGGCTTTGAAGGGAGAAAAGGGTTTTAATGGGCAGGAGTGAGGAAGCAGGAACGTTGGCATAAATGCAGAGGTAGAAAAAGGACGGATCAAATTAGACATCAGCTAAATCAAGAGTAGGTGAAGTGGGTGACTGTGAAATAGGGTTAGAAAGTGAGGTTGGAGACAGACTGTAAAAGAAGGTGAAGGAGTTTTTACTCTACTCTCTAGGCAATAGGGAGCCACTGAGTGTTTGAGAAGAATGACATGGTCAGAGCAGTAGATTATAATTATTATTCTGGCTCTGTTCCAATCTTTTCTTGAGATGATGTGGCAAAAATTTTCAAAAATGAGTCGGGTAGTCTAGTAAGGCTTCAAGCTTACGTCTTTATTACAGCACATTTTAACTCACACAAGAGAAGTCCTGAGGCAAGGCTCCCAGTGACAGGAGCACCCGTGGGTAGGGACAACAGAGGAAAGAAAACAAGAAAGGTCACTGGGCCTCAGGCATCATGTTCTTCAGTCCACAGCAGCAGAAGGAAGAACAATCAGCCTCTGTGGAGAGGCTGTCCTTAAGCAAGGCATGCCCGGCTTCTTCAATTCTGCCCTTCTTCCTGGTTAATGTGGGAAATTGCTGGGTGTCAGCCTGTTAACAAGAACGTATTAAGTACCTACTAGTGTCAGGCACTGTGCCAAGTGCTTAACAGTCTCATTTGATACTCACAACAACCCACACAAGGTAGATGCTGTTATTAACCCCATCTCACAGGTGAGGAAGCTGATGTAAACACAAGTTAAGTCATTTGCTCAGGGTCATACAGCCTGTGCCCGAGGCTGGATTTGAACTCGGGTCTTTTTGACTCCAGGCCCAGCTCTCTACCCATTCAGCCACCTAGCTGTCTCTGAATTAGGTTCGAGTTGAGCCTTCTTGGTTTAAAGGGATATCCCAAAAGTCTTAGTTCAATCTCCAGAAAGAGAGAAGAAATGCTGAGCAGAGGCAACTGTTAGAACATGGGCTAGACCCTTGGAGGGCTTGGGGGATAACCTAGGCAGCATGTGCAGAACTGACTGGAGGGAACAGACACCGGAGGCAGGGAAAGCCATTCATAAGATCACTGACTAGAGTTGGAAGGGTCTTTATAGGTCTTATAGTCTAACCCCTTCATTTCACAAAAGAAACAAATTAAGTCCTCGAGAGAAGAAATGACTTATGCAGGGTCACACAGGCATCAAGAAACACACCAGAGGTTCAAAGTGGGTTCCTTGTTTCACAAATTCAATACCCTTTGTGCTACACCAAACAGCCATCAGAAAGCTGTTTATAACGGTCAAGGTGACGGGCACAGAGGGACTGACACTGCCGGGGACAGTGAAGGAGAGGGGACGGAAGCAAGAAAGATCACAGAAGGCGAAGAGGGCTTAGAAGTTAATTACATGTACGGGTTTGGGAGGCTAAGAATCACAAGCAAGCCTTAGGTTTCCAAGGTAAGCGACTGTGAAGATGGTGAAAATATCAGCAGACCTGAGAGGGGTGAGGTGCCAGGGTGGCATTCAGGTAGAGATAGCCAGGAGTCAGGTGGACATCTCTGGGCAGTGCAGCCTCGCAGCTAGAAAGACGGCCTTGGTCAAGAAGCTCAGCTCTAACACGCATCGGCTCAGTGAAATCCTTTAACCTCTCAGAACTCAAGGCTGAGGTACAGAGCAGGTGCAGACTGCATCAGTAAAAGGGGTTTCCTCACTTACATCTGACACCAAAGAAAAACAGGTCCACCTCTGACCCCTTCTTGGGTAACCTATATGTAACAAGGCTCTCTTAAAGAGGAACCCCTTCAGGAGCAGAAGGAAAGAATGTAAGCTTCTCAAGGCCAGAACTGCTGTTTTTCTGTGCATTCCTAGGACAGTGCTTGCAAGGTGCACACACACGATAAGCATTAACAAATGTTTGGTGACTGACTGATCTCTCATGGTGAGATTTTAAGCCAGAAGGCAGATATTTTGGGGCAAGGCCTGGTTTTTGAAAGGCTGCACTATGCCCCTAAATTAAGGCCTGATCCACACTGCTCTTAAGACCTCCTGGTAAGGCCGGGGCATGAATGGTCTGGTCAGATGGCAGTGGGCCAGGCCATGGGTGGGGTATCTGGAAGCCAAAATTTTATTATACCCAGGGATTGGCTCACATGGATATGTGAGTGTGAAAACCAAGTGTGAAGTTCCAAGAAACTGCCAGATCCAAGCTGGGATTCCAGCTGTAGCCAGAGGAAGGAGACTCAGTGATGTCAGGTATAAGGAATAGACAAGGCATATCACTTATTTGTCAGTTAAGTCTCACAAAACCACAGACAACACAAAAAAGTTAGAAAGGAGCCCAGAGCACAGCAACATTACAAAAGAGGCTTCTTCTGTCTGAACCTCAGTGTCCTCATCCTTCAAATGTGATACTTGTCCTACCTACCTCACTGAGATCTGGAGGAGAAAATGAACAAAAAGCACTTACAGGCACACCTTACAGTGTCATACAAACATCAGCGATTATCATCATTATTATCTAGCAACTCTCTCAAAGATGCCATTTTCTCATTCAATCTTCCTTCCTCTTCTCTTCCTTTGTAGTACCTGATGAAGAGTCCTTGATCTGCTGTTGCTGTTGAGTACTGTCCAACTCCTTGTGACCCTATCTGATGTCTGCTTGGCAAGGATACTGGAGTAGTTGGCCATTTCCTTCTCCAGGTCATTTTACAGATGAGGAAACTGAGGCAAACAGGGTTAAGTGATTTGCCCAAGGTCACACAGCTAGTAAGTATCTACGGTCGCATTTGAACTCGGATCTTCCTGACTCCAAGCCTGGCATTCTATCCATTGCACCACCCAGCTGCCCTTGATCTGAGCTTGTTAAAATGAGACCCTCTTAAGAAGTCACCCTCTCTCATGGCCAAAGGGATGAATGAGCCAGGGAAGAGCTCACTCTGATAACGAGGTTCCTACTTTTTCCCCAGGCAGGAAAGAAAAGTTTCTGTGGGAGAGAGGAAAGCTTGAAAAAAGCTGCAAAGATTAAGAAGGGAGTTCAAGGGAGTAAGATGACCTTGGAGCATGAGAAAAGTTACACAATGGGAGCAGTGTGACCCTAGTTTCCTTTACAACAATCACGTAAGGGACATTACTGGGTTCCTCATTTTATAGGTGTAGGAGGTAAGGGACTTGCCCAGGGCCACTCAGCTAGAAGTGCCTGAGGCAAGATTATAACCCAAGGGGTGGTCTTTGACTCCTCCCCATCTCTTATCTCCTATATCCAATTTCTTGCCAAATCCTGTCAACTCTGCCCCGGTCACCTCTCTCCCCAACTCATCACCTCACACACCTCTTACTGCAAAAGGTTGTTCTCAGTCTCTCCCCACTCCGGTCCATCCTCCAATCAGCCCTTGGGATGCCCTTCCTAAAGTGGTTCCAAAGCTGCTCCTATCCTAGCCTCTTCCTATCTTCCCAGCCTACCTATCCCTCGCTCTCCTGCACATACTCTACAATCTGGGGATGCTTGCCTGCTCGCTGTTCTTCACTCAAGATGTGCCGTCTCTGACTCTCATCTCCACGTCCCTGATTATCTCCCATGCCTGGAATCCTCTCCCTGCTCACCCCTTCGCCAAGTCTTGGATGAGGTCCCGCCTTGTACAAGAAGCCTCTCCCAGTCCCCTTTCCCTCTGTGATTATCTCCACTCTGTCCTGGCTATGGCTTGTTCATACACAGTTGTTCACATGAGCTATGTGAGGGCAGGGACTGCTTGTGTCTTTCTTTGTACCCATCACTCTTGACACAGTGCTGGGCACATACAAGGAGTTTCATATAGGAGGAGTTTAATAAATACTTGCAGGCTCAACTGAGATCCTTGTCTCCAAAGACTGATTATGCAGGAGGTCACGGCTGGGCCAGAACTGTCCAAGCCCCTTGCATCTCTCAACAGGGATGAGGAGAGGACTCAGAGTTTCAGAGTTCAGCTTGCTCATTTCTTTCCTTCTCAGACTATCAGTGTTTGCTCCTGTCTATGCATCTTAAGAACCTCTGGGACACTGAGGCACTGAGAGGAGAAACAACGTATGCAAGTCAGCACAGGAATCAGCATCAGAGCAAGGACCAGAAATGAGACTCCCTATCCAGCACTTTTCATAGCATCAGGTCTTGGCAAAATGCCAATCAGTCCCTTTTGCTACTTGGAGAAGGGATGAAGGAAGATAAGGAATAAAATGCATGAAGCAGCCAGGCAAAGTGAGAATCAGAAAAGAGATACAGAATAACTCTAACTTCTAAATCTCCCTAGAGGCAGCTGGATAGAGCTCTGGTCCTAGAGTCAGGAAGAGCCAAGTTCCAATCTGACCTCAGAGATTTAATAGCCATGTAACTATTCATTTAACCTGCTGTTTGCCTCAGTTTCCTCACCTGTAAAATGGGAACAATAACTAGTAGCAGCTACTGGGTGGGGCTGTCGTGAGGGTCAAATGAGATAATATCGATAAAATGCTTTGTAGATATTAACAATATACAAATGTTATTATTACTACACGCCACCCCCCCACACACCCCCAGTTACCCTGAGATGAGAGAGACGCAGCTGTGGTTTCCACTCCTTTCACCAGGGGGTGGTGGCCAAAGCTAGTCTACATTTGAGCAGCTGGCCCTCTCTGAGCCTGAGCAATTGTCCTGAATGTGACTTAGAAGTTCTTGGTCTGTGAACACATGAAAGGCGATCTGTTCGTACTCATGCTTCTCCCCACACTCAAACAAGCACCCAAACGAGCCCTCCTCGAGGGCAGCCAGGTCGGAGTAACCACTGGGCCCACTGTGGAGAATCCAAGGTGGGGACCAGCGAGCAGTTTCCAGAGGGGCCTGGTTCAGATAGATGCCCAGGTCTATCCTACACCTCTTGCTCGTTGGGTGTGAATAAATGAGCCATGAACCTGGAGGTTTGTAACTGTTCTGCTCTGGTCCAGCAGTGCTGACCAGAGATGCTGGTTGGCTAGAGAGGTCACTGCCACCATCTGGGGCTTCATCTTCCTGAAGGCCCCTCCTGGGCCTGAAGCTCACAACACTTCCCTGGCAACCATGCGGGGGCTCATGTAGCTCCCGGACCAGGGAAGGTTTCTGAAAGTGTTCCCCCAGGTCTGTGCTGAGTGCTTCAGCCCGATACCTACCAGGGGTCCTGGCACTGCAGTATAACACTGGGCAGCCACTCGAATTCATCACTTCTGCAACCTCACACTCTATGGTTGGCCTAGATCGGAAGAGCTGCCCATGTTTCCATGTAGCACCCAGGTCATCACTGTAAAACATCAGAGAATGGGGCCTGGCTCTGAACCAGAGAGGGGGCCCCAGGCAGGACCAGCGGGATGAGGGATAGGCATAGGCAGGGATGACCAGTCTCCCAGACTGTAGCTGGACCCCATGGCCAGGTCCCACAGCAAACGTAGCCCAGTGCTCTATGTCCTCACTAAGGACCTGCTCAGTCAAGTCCTTGATCTGGCTCCAAGAATGTCCGTGGTCTGCGCTGGAGACAAAACACAGTCGAGCAGCGTTCTTCCCTGAACAAATCTGCCGCCTCTCTGTGACGTGGTTGCGAACACAAATGAAGAACAGAAAGACCCGCCCACTCTTCCGCTCCCATACAGGGCAGGGGTTCATGGTGCGGAATCCAGGTAACGTGGCCTCCATCAGGGACACCTGAGGCCCCCACTAAGAACAAGGGAGAAAAAGAGAGAGCATGGGAAAGGGCTAGGAGACGTGACTTACAAGCGTTCAAGAAATGGCTGCTGAAACAATAAAGTTGTTGTTTGTTTAACTGAAAATAAACCCAAATAAAAGGCAAGCCTCTTCCATCTAGAAAAACAAAGGTTAAGAAGGGAAGCTATAATAAAAAAAGCTTACATTTATAGGATATTTTTACAAAGCATATTATCCCACTTCATCCTTACAATATGTAAATAGTGTAGGCAATATTGCAATCACTAATATTAATGCTATTATTAATAACGGTTAGCTCACATTTCTATAGTGCTGTAAAGGCGATAAAGCACCTGCCCCACAAGGGGTCCTGAAGTAAATAACGCAAGGACGATTATCCTCACTTTAAGAATGAGGAGGGGTGAAGAGAGACCCCCAGACTCAGGCTGTTAGTAAATATCAGAGCTGATTTCCTGCCAAACCCAGGGCTCTTCCCACCACACCATACTGCCTTGAAAATGAAGATAACTGAGGAAACTAAAGCTCTAAGGCGTTGGTGAATTTCCCAAGGTTATCCAGCCAGGAAGTGGCAAATCAAATCCACAAACATTTATTAGGCTCTTACTATATGTCAGGCACTGTGCTAGGCATGGAGGATACAAAGAAAGGTAAAAACAAAACAAAACAAACAAACTCAGCACCTGCTCTCATGGAGGTCATGGCTTAAAGGGGAAGACAACATGGCAAACAACTATGGACAAACAAGATACAGACTGGATGGGCGAAATGCGAGAAGGAAAACACTAACATTTAGGGAGACTAAGACAGGCTTCTTGTGCAAGGTGGGCCTCTTAGCAGAGACCTCAGGGAAGCCAAGAGGTAGAGAGGAGAAGAGACAGAGAATTCCAGGAAAGAAGGACAACAGTGAGGATGTACAGTCGAGGGAAGGCAGGGAGGCAGAAGTGAGGCCAGTGTCACCAGATCAGGGCATATGGGGGTGGGTGAGGTGTAAGAGCACTGGACAGTCTGTCAATCAAGAAACATTTATTAAGTACTTCTTGTGTGACAGGCACTGTGCTAAGTGCTTGGGATACAAAAAGAGGCAAAAGACAGCCCCTGCCCTCAAGGAGCTGACAATCGAACGGGAGAGACAACATGCAAACAAACATATGCAGCTAGCTATCTGCAGGACAAATAGGAAACAGTTAACAAAGGGAAGGCACTAGAATTAAGAGGGGTTAGGGAAGGCTTCCCCTAGAAGGTGAGACTTTAGTTGGGACTTCAAGGAAGCCAGGGAGATCAGTAGTCAGAGCAGAGGAAGGAGAGCGTTCCAGACATGGGGAGCAGCCTGAGAGAATGCCTGGAGCTGGGAGACAGAGTGTTTTGTTTACGGGATAGCCAGGATGACAGTGTCACTGGATGGAAGAATATGTTTTGAGGAGTAAGGCAGACCTGCGGGGGAAGGAAAGGGAACAAGCATTTATTAAGCTCCTACTGTATGCTACAGTACACTGTGCTAAGTGCTTTACAAATATCATCTCATTTGACCCTCACAAAAACCCTGGGAGGTAGGTGCTATTATTTGCCCCATTTTACAGTTGAGGAAACTGAGGCAAACAGAGATTGACCTGCCCCAGGGTCACCTAGCAAGTAAGTGTCTTCCTGACTCCAGCTCAGTGCTCTATCTGCTGCACCACCCGGCTACCTCTAATCTGTGCTTTCCTAGAATCATATATTAGATCTCGAAGGGACTTTAGAGATCATCTGGTATAACTACTCACTTTACAGTTGAGGAAACAGAGGCTAAAAGAGGGGAAGTTAACCATCCAAGGTCACACAGCCTAAAAGCAACAGAGCTGGCATTCAAACATATCTCTGGAAACTTCAAGTCTGGACCTTCTACTATATCTCATGGCTTCCTTCCAGCACTAGAGTTATATTCTAATTAAACAGGAGAATGTACTTGCCTGTGTAAATGGTGGTGGTGGTGGTTGTGGTGGTGGTAGTGGGTAGCAGTACTGAAAATAACAATAATAACTACAACAATATTTATGTACAACTGAGTTCAAATTCAGGCCTCAGACATTTACCAGCTGTGTGACTCTAGGCAAATCATTTAACCTGTTTGTCTCAGTTTTCTCATCTGTAAAACGAGGATAATCTGAGCATCTACCAAGTGCTATATAAATGTGATTACTATACTGCTGTTGTCATTCCATTGTATTTTAAGCTGTGACCTTGGATGATTCACCTCCCAGAGGAGTCTCAGTTTCCTAAGCTATAAAATAAGCAGTCAGATCAGATGATCTCTAAGGTCCCTTCCAGATCTAACACATTATGATTCTGTGCAAGGACAGAGATACAAATTCGGACACTTGTAATCTGTAAGGGGAAAAAATGCTGGGATTTGTAGTTTGGTTCTTTAAAAGCAAGAGGACAGGACAAAAGACCCTTAAGAATTCTGGTTTTCCTGCACTAAGCGCCCTCTTCTGCAGTCATATCCAATACAACCCACATCACAACTCATCTGTGCACACAACCCATTCACTCATTCAATGAGGACAGTGGACATGGACTGGATTTGGACTCAGAGGCCCTGGGTTCAAACTTCAGCTGTCTTAGCTACTGTGTAACCTCTGACAGGCTGACTAGTTTGGAACTGTCTTTGGGCTCTTTGTTTCTTCATTTGTCAAGGGAGCATTGGTCTGGATGTTCCCCAAGGCCCTTGCCGCAATACCTAGAAAGTCTTCGTCATCACACACCCAACAGTTGGCCCTTGGCTTTGGGCTCTGCCCTGCCCCTGGGAAAAGGCCCACTGCGAGTACTCTAGCCTCTTGACAAGTTCCTCCCACAGGGATTCACAAGTTCTTAGACTCTTACAGCTAAAAGGGACCTTAGTTCCCCCTTACAGTACAAATGTCTTCTCCAAAATCTCTCATATGTGGTTGTTTCCTTGACAGGAATGTGAGAAGAAAGATAAGGACTAGAATTCCTCCTTCCTCTATGTGACCCCAGAGTTCCCAGGAGAGGGATCAGACCTACTTCTTTTCTTTTTTGGCTAGGTGATGGGGTTAAGTGACTTGCCCAGGGTCACACAGCTAATAAGTGTTATGTGTCTGAGGCTGTATATGAACTCAGTTCCTCCTGACTCCAAGGCTGAAACTCTATCTACTGCACCACCCAGCTGCCCCCCAAACCCACTTCTTCAGAGGCTTATAGTTCTCTTCCGGGTATAACAAAGGGCTGAATGAATAATCTCTAGAGGACCCTTCCCTCCCAGCTTCAACATTCTATGTCCCTCCAAGCATTCTCTATTTGAAGACCCTCAGAGAAAAATTTCCAAGAAGCCTTGCCAAAATGGAAGGATCAGTTACCTGCAAAGAATGGCCCACCCTTTGTCCTCGTCGCAGCACCAGATAAAGTGCATCTGTATCATCTACTGTGGAACGCTTCTCTGCAAAGGCCAGCAATACCCGGGCTGGTGGGATATAGAGCAGTGCTGGGATCCGATATGTAATCCCACTCACTCCTTCCTGATGGAACAGGGTGGTACTGGAACAGCACGATGTTCTTTCTTCCATGGCCCCTGGTAAAAAAAAGCAGAAAAGGCAGCTGAAAGAGACAGAGAGGGACAAGGAAGGTGAGGGGAAGGGAGAGAAGTAGAGAGGAAAAGAAGGAGAAATCGAGGAAGTGAGGGAGGGCGAGAGGAAGAGAGACACAAAGAGAGAGACAGAGAATAGGTGTGGGTGAATGCTCATGCCCATGTGGACACCTTATTGCTTACCGTCTCCAGAGCAGGGATTCGGGCCTACACTTCTCATTTTCTTCGAGGTCACAAGTGAAGTGCCTCATTTTACAGAGGAGGCCTCTCCAGCCCTCAGTGTACAGAAAGGGAAAGTGCTTTCCCATTGTCCCACAGGGAATAAGAGCCATAGATTCAATCCAAATTCTCCTACTCCAAATCCAGAGTTCTTTCAACTAGACCATATAATCATTGAGGATCTGAAGTCACCAAGAACCAGTTCTGCTGATCTTTCAATGCCTCAATATATCATTCCATCCTCAATCATCCTGCATGCTAGTGAAAGCTTAGACCACACAACACCAATTACTGCCAGAATCTATTGTAGTGATCTTATTTCCTCAAGCTCCTACTCTGCTATCTCTCTCCTCTGCTTTAGAAAATGTCATTTAAAAAATTAGCAGGCTAGAAGACTTCTATTAGCTCTGAAAAATCTGCCCTGATAGCAACTAAGTTTTCTACAAAGAAACAAAGACTCTCAAAATCAGAATGGACATCATAGCGTGTCTAGGAATTCCCCTGCAGCGTCCAGCCTCAGCTTGAAGACCTAGAATGACAGGGAAGTCACCATCCTGTAAGACATTTTCACTTATTTCTAGACAGATCCCTTTCTCCAGTACCACATTCTATGGTCTTACCAAAACAGAAGACAGAAGGACTAGCACTTTCCTTGGTCCACATGCTCTGGTTCTAACAATACGATATAATACCAAGTTAGAATTGTGCTACCTTGTCTCATTGCTGACTCCTATTAAAGCCTGAAGTTAACTAAGACTCCTAGGTCTCTTTCAGAGGATCTGCTTTCTAGCCACCTCTCTCCCATCCCTCAACTCATACAGTTGATGTTTTAAACTCATGTGCAGGACTTTACACTCCTCTTGATTCAATTTTATTGTCCTAGTCTGTTAAGACTATTTTGGATCCTGATTTTATGGTCCTACATACTACCTGTGCCTCCCAGGGTTGCATCATCTGTCGATTTTATAAGCACAATGCCTTCATCCAAGTCACAGATAAAAATAGCTCTTGTAACTCTAATTCTATCTCTCTTCCAACTCTTAACGGTTAAGGTCTCTGTTGTAAGGTCACTTCCTGTTCCAGCATTCTATATTCTATCTTCCAATGTCTCTTCCACCTCTCAAATTTGAATGTTCTTTTTTTTCCTTTTCCCAGGGAATACGAGCTAGCAACTTTCAGAGATGTCTAGCTACTTAAGGGTCCTATCAATCAGCCCAGTGTGTTCAACAAACTAAATGCCAGGTTGGGAAATAACCTCTCTGCTGACCAGCCTGCAACTTATCTCAAGGCAAGAGGAAACTACTAATGGCAGAGAGACCACCTTCCTGAGTTAGAGAGAGGGTAGAAGGGAAAAAGTGTTTCAGATGGGGAAAAAAAAAATCTTTCAAACACATGACTTCTTATTACCTGCCAAATAAAGTCCTAATTTTTCTTCCTGACATTCAAGGCCCTCCAAACCTTTCGCATACTACTCCCCTCCACCTTCATTTCAAACACTTCAGCTATCTTCTGAACACACCTTTCCCATCTCCCAACATCATACTGTTGAATTCAAGTCAGTAACACTTATCATGCACCAATTGTAAGCAAATTGCTGATTTCACCAGTGTAGGAAATACAAAGCATAGAGAGATGCTGAAGATTGGCAGCTTAAAAGGACCTGGGACCTCTCTACATGGAATTTACAGTCTAACAGGGGCACCTAAATAGCATAGTAGAAAAGCCAGAGATTTGGTGGGAGAACACATGAGTTTGAATCTAGGCTCTGCCAAACTTGACCAAGACATTCAATTTTCTGACTCATAAAAAAGGGATGATGATCTCTGCACTAAGTAATTCAGGAGGTTCAGAGAATCATATAGAATACTGGATGTAAAATACTTTGGAAACCCAAAAGCACTATATATAAACAGACTCTTTAGAAGGATGAGACACATATACACATAATGTATGAAGAGTGGAGTGCAAGCAAAATACCATTCCAGGTCTGAGGGAAACAAGGTCTTTACCAACAAAGTGGAAGGGCTTCCTGAAGGAGGTGGCATTTGAATTAAGCTTTAAAGGATGAGGACAGACAATGTAGAGGGAAGAGAATTCCCAGGCACAGAAAATAGCAGCAAAGGCAACGTGGCAAGAAAGCCTCGTCTCACACCCCTCTGCACCCCAGTATACTGAACTATTCTTTGCCACCCAATAGGGCCTTATTATATTATAGTTGGCACAAGAGAAATTATACAGTATTGCATCTTTTTGTATGTATTTTATTCCCCTGCTAAACTATAAACAAGCCCAATGAAGTCAGAGGTAATGTCCCATCTGAACTTTGTATGTTTCCCAATACCTAGCAGGGTTTTATATCTGGGAGGCATTTAATCGCTGTTGAACCAATGAATGAATTCCCAGAATTCCAAGTCTTCAGATATCTATTAAGGAAATGTGATAATGGAGTTATTTCTACATGGCACAACTTCAAGAGCTAGTCTCCCTGACTCTGTTCTCTCTCCTCTATAATCCATTTATCTTCCTAATGCAGGTCTTCCTATATCAGTGGCTCTCTATTACTTAATGAATGAAATATGCTCTTGAACCTAGTGTTTAAGGCCCTCATCTGGTTCTGACTTACCTCCTTCTCCAGCCATATTTCCCTCCCACTCCTCTTCACACATTCTTCTACACACTAGCAAATTATACACCTGCTGTTCCTTCATCACAGCCTGCTCTCTCCTGGCCCTGTACATGGAATGGGTTCCCCACCAGCCATCCCCGATTATTAGCCTAAAGTATCTTCCTGAATCCCCCTCAATGCCTTCCAGCAAGGAGGTGCAGTGGAAAGAGTACGGGGTGGGTAGTCAGAAGAGTGTGTATAAGCTCCACTTCTCCTTTTTCCCTGTGTGCCTTTATCCAAGATACTCAGCCTCTCCAGCTGTAAAATGAAGGGTTTGGCCCTCAGAATTCCCTTCTGGCTCTAAATCTATATGAAGGGAATTCCTGGACGGACTGGAAGACCTCTAAGGTTAATTCCAACTCCGAGGACCCTACAACAGGAGAGGTTTCTTTCATTCACTGTCAACTACCCAGACATTTGCTAGAAACCCTATTATCATAAAAAGAGTGCAGTGGACACACTTGTGACTTACTTGGCTCAGAACACAGAGAGAGCAATGAAGGGAAACACTTTTGAACTTAAAACTAACCAGAAAAGACCAACTAAATATTTAAAGGAGATGGGGTACATTGGAAGAAAGTGACCTAGAATTCATGCAAACAAATAAAGATAGTGCTAAGTATAAGCCAACATATTCCCAGGACTACAGAGAGAACCAGGAGTAAGCAGCTACTTAGGATGTACATACCCAGTAGGGGTTGAGGGAGACAAGGGACACTTTGCTTGGACACAAGCCAATTTGTTTGGACAAGTAACAAATTAGTTGTTGTTCAGTCATGTCTGACTCTTCATGACCCCATTTACGGTTTTCTTGGCAGAGATACTGGAGTAATTTGCCATTTCCTTCTCCAGCTTATTTTGCAGATGAAGAAACTGAGGCTTAACTGAAGGTTAAGTGACCTGCCCAGGGTCACACAGCTAGTAAATGTCTGAGGCCACATTTGAACTCAGGTCTTCCTGACTCCAGGCCTAGCGCTCTATCCACCACACTACCTCAAGCTGTTAGTGTCTGGTTAAATCTGTTGTATTTGCAGTGTTTCTATGTGATTGTAACAACAAGAGCTCGGCTCCCTGCCTCTCCCTCCTCTGTAATGCATGTTATCTTCCTAATGCAGAGGTCTACCTATATCATTCCCTTGCTCAAAAAAACTACAACGGTTCTCTATTGGTCACTGAATAAAATATGCTTCAGCGGAGGCAGCTATAGCTTAACGAAGGGGTACAATGACCTGTTTCTGTCTCTTACTAGGTGCAAGATCTTGGGCACGGCATCCTGTAAAACTGGGATAATAATACTATGCCACCTACCTCATAGTACTGTTGTGAGCAAATCACTCTTACAAATTTTAAAGTGGCTGATATTTCTACACGTTCAGGTCTTTCCCTTCAAGAACAGAGAGGTGCCACATTTTCCATATCATGAAGCTCGACTAGTGGAGTATAGGATCATAATAAAGATCATAGATTTGGAGGTGGAATGGATGCCAAGGTCTGGAGAGGGAGGGACCTCAATGGAATATCCACAGTGGTACACTGGGAAAACCACTGGATTTGGAATTACAGGACATGGTTTTGGTTTTGCCCCTGGGCAGGTAGCAGCCTTTAAATGTCTCAGTTTCTTCATCTGTAAAACTGAAAAAAAAAATTAAAATATAATATTCATAATATCTCACACAGGTTTGTTGGGAAGCTCAAATGAGATAATGGAAGCAAAATACTTTGCAAACCTTGAAGCACTATAAAAATATCAGGTAATATTAGCCTTAAAAATGTAGGGTATTACAGTAATCGAACTCTAAGATTCCTTCTCACTCCTCTTGGAAAATTCTCTCCTCCTCCTCAGATTTTCAATAGCACTTTACCTGAAACTCTCCTTTGTACTTATCTCCCTCTCCTTTCTATAGTAGGTAATGTGCCGGGGTGGGTCTTCATCCCCTTTACATAGTAAATTCCTTCAGAGCCAGGCTGGTGGATATCTTTGTGTACACAGCATAGCACTTCATAAACAGAATGGAAATATTAAGAGTCCTCAAGAGCCCTGGAGCTCTCCTACGGAAAAACTGGCCCACACTTAACCACCTCAAGATGAAACTGATGCAATGGGCCAGGGAACACTGATCCTATGCCAGGCATCACTTGGCTTTCTCTTCTCTACTTCCCCCACTCAATTCTCCTAAGAACTAAAACTAAAATTTTAATAACATCAGATGATATTTCTTTGGGAGACTGGAGAGAGAGGAAAGAATAGAGGAAGAAGCTGGGGCTTGGACACAAACTCAAAGATACTGATTTGTATAAGCTAAAAGTCGTAGCCTGAGAGTAGAAAGAGTGCTGGACTCAAAAGGAAGTTAAGCTCTACTGCAGTCTTCTAGGTCTAAGTTTCTCAAGAACTATGGTCTTCAATGGTATCTAAAGCCCTTTCCAGCCCTGACACTCTCTATTCTAAGGGCCTTTTGGCTCTGACATTCCCTGTTCTAAGGTCTCGCCCAGCTCTGACAAACCTTCCCGCTTCTAAGGTCTAAGCCATTACTAACTTTATAAATTCTAGTTCCTCGAGTCATTTGCAAATCTGATTGCAGGTTGTCCCAGGCGGCACTCCCATACCACCCCACATTCCACTCCCGACCTCGCACCTCCCTTCCCCCTCCTCTACCCTCGTCCCCTGCATGTTTTCCCCAACCCCCCCCCGCCCCGCATTCTATCCCCACGCCCCCCAGCCACCCCCGTACGTCCAGCTCACCGGGAGCCCCAGGCCGGCCCCCAGGCTCTGGACTTGGCCGAGGATAGAGGAGGAGCGTGACCCGGCCTGGGGCAGGCGGGGAGGAGGGGCAGGGGGAACAGGTCGAGCGCGGCAGACACGAAGTCCTGAAAGACTCCAAGTGAGCCTGGGAAGACAGGGGGGAAGAGATCCAGAAATGGGAGAGACAAAGTGGTGGGAGAGAAGACTGAGGAAAGACCGACCACAGAGCCAGCCCCAGGCCGAGCCTAGCCGGACTACCGAGCCGCGGACCCCAGGCAGGAGGCTTTATGCAGAATGCTGAGCATGCGCACGGGGAAGCAGCGTCCCTCGTGACCTCTCCGGGCAGCAGCCGGGTGGAGCGTGGGAGGAGCAGCGGTCTCCCTGCGCGCCTGGCCTTAAACCTCCCGCTTCCTGCCCGCCCCGCCCCCCTCTCCTCTCTCCCCTCTCCCCCACCCCGCCCCCGGGGGCCTAAACAAAAGTTGCCGCGTGCTCTGGAGCAAATGTGCAGGAGAGCCGGCAGCGGGGAGGGTGCAGACGTGGAAAGCTCCGATTGGGAGTTTAGGACCAGTGGGATCTTGGCCAAGTAACTAAGCCTCTCGGGTCGGTTTTGCCCTCCGTCAGGCAGGTCCTGGATTAGAATCTAGTTCATAGGCGGCTGCTCTCACATTCTCTGCTTAGAAATCCCTTCCAGCTCTGACATTCCCTGTTCTAGAACCCTCCCAGCTCTGACATTCTGTGTTCTAAGGTGCATTCTAGCTCTGATCTTGTGTTCTACGGTGTATTCTAGCTCTGACATTCTATTTTCTTAATTATTTAAATCTTACTGATTTTCATTGACTTATTTACTTACTGATTTACAGAGCGGTCAAAGGGACTTTGGAGAACATGTGCCCTCCCACTTCATTTTTCAGAGGTCATTTTACAGGGGAAGAGACCTAGTGTCAGAGCAGAGACTAGAACCCAAGTCTCCTGATTCCCAAATATAGCATTCTTTCTGACTGGTGGTCTGACAAGTCCCCCTCCATCCCCACTTCCAGAACAAAGGTCCTTGGTCCTATGACCAGCTGATGAATGAGGAGGAAGCCCTCAGATTTTTTCCAGTCCTCAAGCTCACTTCACTCCCACTCCCCTCCTGCTTAGGAAAATCTGAGATGCCAGAAACGGCAAAACAAAGACAAGGCCCCTGTCGAGAGGCAGAGGTAACCCCAGCGAAGCATGACCTTCAGCAGGCCTACCTAAGGTATACTGTCTCTCTTAGGTCACCCTGGCCCAATTCAGCTGACCCCACCACTTCCTGACAGGCCACTTATTGCAGTCCCTGGTTGCCCCATCTCCCCAGGCAAGCCATTTATGTTGTGGCAGCAACCCACGAAGGTTATCGCCCTGGGCAAAGTTTCTAGAACTATTTTAAAGTACAGCCCCGCTCAGGTCAACCTACAAGTTCAAGAGCATCTGCCACAATCCTAGATATTAGTGTATAGTTGCAATTTGATTAAGTCTCTGATCCCATCACTTCTCACTGTCCCTTGTCAAAATCCTGACTCCCTGTGGCCTATAGAACCAAATTCTAAACCTAGCATTCAAGGCCCTCGTTCCCCTTCCTACATTCTCTCTCCCTGGGCTTCCCCTTCATATGCTCTACCTGATAGCCAAACAGGATTACTTGGCTCTCCTCAGACAAGGTCCTCGGCTCTGCCCTCTCAGCTTTGCTTATACTGTTTTCTGCACCTACCCCGCCTATTGAGATCCTGTGGTTCCCTCAAGGCTTTCTCTGATAACCTCCACCTCCACTCTGAGGTGACCACTCTCATGTGCAGTCATATCTCTGTACTCCTGTGGATCATCACCTTCACATCTGTATTCTTGTTTACGTTACCTCTTATACTAGTCAGGGAGTTGTCTGAGAGTAGGGACTGTTAGTATGCACCTCTGGATCACTCCTACTGGACGCAACAGATGTCCATGTTCAATGAATGGGCTGTTAGGGCTGCAAGGCTCCTCAAATTATCTACTCCATCTTGCTAATTTTAAAGAAGCAGCTCAGACTCAGAGGTGATCTGAAAGGTTCCTTCCAGCTCAAACTACATATGAAATCATCTAATCAAACTTCCTTCTTTTACAGATGAGAAAATTCAGGCTCAGATTGATAAAGGACCTCATTCAGGAAAAGCAGCAAAGGCAGGAGCTGCATCCAGACCATGGCCAAAAGTAGTCCCTGCCTGGTCTAAATCCTAGGAGCTTCAACTCAAACCTGTTAGTGGATAACTCAACAAAAGCTCCACACCAATACAGGCTGATCTTTCTCTGCCATTAAGTCACAACACCACATTTGCATCTCTTCTTTCCTTTTATTGAAAAAAATTCATTTAGAAAATGGCAGTTAATAAGGGACACAGAACAGAAATTAAGAAAACAGGGGAGTTGGGGGGCAGGGGTGGGGGGAAGTCATGGAGGACATAAAGAGAACTAAAAATGCCATTGACTGATTTGATTGGTCAAGAGCATAAAACCTGATATCCAGAAGGATCTTTCCTTCCCCTGGCCTGTTTTCAACAAATTAATGTGATGGGTATTGTGTATTATTACTTTTTCAAAGTCACCCCCCCCCAATTCCGTCAAATAAATATGAAACTCAAAAGTAGGTCTGTGACTAGAAGCTGTTGTACCCCAAAGGTTTTGTCCTAAATCCCTAAAGGAGGCAGGGACTGAGACAAAAAAAAAATAATGGACAGATGCAACAGTCAGCATTATGGGGAACAGGTTAAAAAATTTAAAAGAAAGGGAGGGGCAGGCATGGCAGGAAGCTGTTGCTGCATGGTATAAGCACTGCCAGGTACAAAGGACAGCTTCAAGCAAAAACTCCTTCCAAAAGTCCTCGATAAGTCTAGAGTCTTTCAATCCAATCAATCCCAAAGGTCAGAGAGCAACCGTAATGACAGGTTAGAGCAAGACAGCCATACGGACTGGGTCTGATCATGACCTCGCTTGCTCAACACTAGCTCCCAGCTCCTGGTTCCGCTTTAGAAAATCCTATTGATCCAGAAGGGAACTGGGATTTCATGACAAAACATGAGACATTTTAAACATTTTTATTTTACTCTATCTGTTTTAGTTTCTGGCTTGTGGGGTGTTTGTTTCCGCTTTGTTTTTGTTGTTTGTTTTGTGTGTGTGTGTGTGTGTGTGTGGTCAGCATGATCCCAGCAGAAAAAAGGCTGCTCCTGGAAGGGTTATTTCATTTTCCTCTCTGTGGCGAGGCTGTCGTGGAGCTTGGAGATCTCAGGCTCATAGGCCTCCATGACCAGCATCCCGCTGTTGTCGAAAAACTTAGCGATGGATTTAGTGAACTCTGCTTCTCTCTGCTGCTTGGTTTTCCCACTGATGAAGGTCAGCTTCAGGGTGTACTTGTCATCAAATCTGAGTACCAGGACACAAGACACAGAATTCAGGTTTGGTAAGCATTTCTCAACAGTGAGTGGCATCTACTACAGACAACACCTTGGGTCCTGAATCTCAAAATGAATCATAACTAACATTTGTACAGACTTTTACAGTTTACAAAGCACTTCTTTATCAACAGAGGCAGGTGCTGTGGAGCATACACACCACATGAGAAACATTTATTGAATTACTGAATTCAATGGAGCAGTACAATTAAGTGACTTCTATAGTCACATGGTTAGTAAACTAAAGTCAGGACTGCCCTCCCACATGATTTTTCTTTTCATTTTTTAAAAATCAACTTAAATATCAACAAACATGGACATTTCAATAAACAAAAAACAGAAAAGGGGATTGTATGTGACTGTGAACTTCAGTTAAAAAGTTTTTTTAAAGAGTGTATATTAAATTACCATGAAATTAACTAAAATGCTCTGGTTTTCTGTGGACCTTTCTGAACTTCCTTTTATAGTCTGGCATATATTTTTAAAATGTTTCATTGATTCTCCTTTTTTCTTTTCTTTCTTTATTTAGCATTAGTCATCAACTGTCTCCCCTGAGCCCTCTACCTTCCCTTGTCTTCACGTTCTTTTTATTTTTGCTGCAGAGTCTCTGTCATCAAGGACTTTACAGTAGTTAGATGGATACAACAAACCTTAAAGATGTGAAATTTCACCAGTGTAGGGGCTCCCACCCCTAACCTCATTTGATCTTCACAATAACCCTGGAAGGTCCCTTATATCATCAAACTCCTATACAGAATAAAACAGGCAGGGTGGTGTCACTGGAAGAATACTAGACTAAGAGCTGAGACCTGGTTTCAAATCCCAGATTTTCTACCTAATGCCTATGTGACCATGAGCATGTCACTACATTCTTCATTCGGTGTATGGGGTGTTCAGAGAGAACTAGCACCTCTGGTGTGAGGACTTGCTGAGCCCTTTTCGGGACTGCTCGTCCATATTTGCTGTCTATTTGTCACCCAACTCTTCTTACCTGTGGCTCCAAGAAGCTGCAGCATGCACAGCAGCCACATCTGGCAAAAAGTCTCAGTAGATGGGCTAAAACAGGCTGAGAGTAACTAACAGGCCTCAAACCCATCAATGAGTTAGGGGGATGTCTACTCTAAGCATGTAAAGACTTTCCCTGGTGGAATGGGTGGATGAGAACAATTTGTTCCAATGACCATGAAGGCTGCAGAAGCAGGTACTGTGGAGCACTTAGAACTTGGTCAGACACAGAAAATGTCACGGTCATGCCAAGGTCATGCACTGCATCCCAGGCCAGTCGTCTTGACTTTTGTTCTGCCCCTGGACTCCAATGACCGAGGAAGAGAGAGTGAGGCTAACAACTTTGTCCAACTCTGCTTCTCTTAAATCCAATTTGCACTGGAGTCAAGACATCGTCCATGATGTCACTGGTTCTCTTCAAAGGACAAACAACACTTCCTCATTCACCTTTCTCACACATCACCAACAATGAAAATTACAACTAAATCAATAGAGTTGGTCACTACGTGGCACACAGTGGATAAAGTGGTAGGTCTGGAGTCAGAAAGAATAGAATTTAAATTGGGTTTCAAACACTTACTAGCTGTGTGACCCTGAGTAAGTCACTTAACCTGTTTGCCTCAGTTTCCTGAACTGTAAAATGATGATAATAAAAACACCTAACTTCCCAGGATTGCTGTGAAAATCAAATGGGATAATATTTGTAAAGCACTTAGCACAGTGCCTGATAAATAGCAGGCACCATATCAATAATCAGCTAGCTATCACCATCATCATCACTAATGCTTCTAGAAAAGGCATTTTCGATGGACTGCCCTATGGTTTTACTCACTATCCTGGTGAATTCCCAAACCAAAAACACTTCCCTGGCCATCACTCCTCTATGGGTATGATTCTTAAGGGAAGCAACTATGTCTCTTT